AATAAATCAACCGACGAAGGAGTGTCAGGAAGATATGTTTTGAAACCACACTAAATCCAAAAATGTTGGATTGTCAGCGCGTGCAGTGACGCCACTCTGACACGCGGCGTGCTTGAGCCCCAGCCTCTGGGGATGTTTGACTTCTTCTAAGGCCTGGTGCAAAAAATAACCTATTTGGCTGCTCTCTCCAGCCCATCAGCTCAGGCCTTGCTCTATACGGCTTCTAAAATGGTGTTGTTCAGATGAGTATCTATTCCAGCTTTTAGCATATGGTTTCAAATGGTATAAACGTGAACAGGCTGGGGATTCCTTGGGAAAATGCCAGCTAGTTCAAAGAAAGGCTTTTCACAAGAATACGTTAGTTTGAGCAATGCTGTTTGTCAGCAAAGGATGAATTTCTGCTCAAAAGCAGACGATCTAGACATGTGCCTGCTAAAGGGAGATACAATATCGTGCATCACTGGCCTCCTCCAGCACAGAGCTTTGAAGCAGGGCTCCTCACGCTCCCATCGAATGCCCTGGCCACGGTCCTGCTGCCGGGAGCCAACGTGTCTGTCTCTCTCATGAAAAGCCTGATGTTCCTCCTGAAGCTTCAGGAGAAATTTCCAACCCTTCTAAAAGCATGAAAGTCATTTCCTCCATCTTATTTGTAAAACATATCCCCCTGAACTGACTGAAGATGCAAAATAAATCAGCTGAGGACCTCCATCCCTGTATGTTGTTTGGGAAAGCTTGAGTTGTACGACTGCTAGTATCTCTTCAGAAATGGCTTGCAGTTCTTTTAGGATAGTTTTCACCGGGGGCGGGTGATATGTTTCCTAGAAGAAAGCAGGTTCTATCTATAGCCTCTCAAGTGTTGTGTTTTGGAGGCTTGAAGTGTGTATATTTGTGAACCTGAAATTTCTGAAGAGCACCAAGAACCCCAGTCTGTGGGGCTGCATCCTGCCCAGCACAGATGGGGCCTCCTGAACTTCTCATGGGCAGAGCTCACCTGGGGTGACCGGCGTCCCCGCTGCTCCCGACTGCCCGTGGTCAGAGATACGGCTCCATCCTGAAGCTGTCTCCCACGAAGACAGGGAACTGCCTGGGCTACCTTTGCTGGGGGCCTGTGGCACTTCCAGACCCCTGTGCATGTCCCGAAAAATGACCTGTCAGTGCCTCACGTCAGGCTGGGGCCCGCTTATCCGGCTGGGGCTTGTGAGGAATTTAAAGGTTTAAGCCCAGAGCATTCGGGAGCCTGCATCCAGGATCTTCCTGAAAGGATTTTTGGAGCTCTCGGCTTGCTGGCTTTTGACAGGCTTTTTCAGACTGCAGCCCTAGGGAGAAGATGGTAGGACAGTGTTAGAGACAGTTGGAACAGTTCAGCTGAAGCAGCTGTTAAATCAAATTGCCCCTTCAAGAGACGATTATGCACACATGTGTGCATGCACATGCAACACAAGGGCAGAATTCAGCTAGCCCTGGCTTTCCTGCTTTACAAATTCCTTGTGTTTTTGCATTTTGGGGTTGATTTAAGTAGTTTCTGTGAAAGGGATTGTTAGTGTTGTCAATATGTGGTGTTCTACTCCAGATTAATGCTGTATCTCGTGTGTGGGAACACATGTAGGTGTGGAGACAGAGAAACCCAGGGCCTAATTCTCCAGTGGCCTTGTGCTGTGAGGATCATTTACACCTTTAGGAAAAGGCGTGTGGAGCAGGTTATGGAAACGCTGCCAAATCTGAAGGTGTCACCCACGAAGGAGATGGAGGGGCAGGAGATGACACAAAGCACTCAGTGCATCATCTCTGAGATCCACAGAAATCAGGCATTTTGATATTTTATTATTCTTTCTATAACTGGAGGAAGGCCACACTGTGAGAATATGAACTCATGTGTGATACACTATCCTGGCCAAGCTCTTTTCTGAGCTATCAGTTACTTTGGGACAGAGGCACCACTGCCAAAGAGGTGAGAGCGACTCGAGGAGGGGAGGAAAGGTGGCTCCAACAGATCTGGACAATAGGAAACAGAGAAGTCGGGCTCTCCAGACAGAAAAGAAAAACAATGACTTGTAAGTGGAGCCTCCAGAGAGCAGGAGCCATTAGCATGTTTCATGTTTCTTACCTTCCTGGTGCTGGTTCACATCACAGCACCTCATCAAGACGTGTTTGGTTCTCATCTGTCTTAAGCAAGACAGTGCTGAAGCTTTGTGTTCCTATGAGCCCCATCCACGCTGGGGTTCGTATGAACAGGGCAGAGCACAGCAGCGCTCAGCAGCTCTGCGCCAAGCGCCCACCACCAACCCCACTTCCAGCCTTGGCCCGTCCAGCACTCTTT